CCTGATATCCATAGGTAGAGTAGTTGGGGAGTAGTGGTCAAAACAAGGTTGGAGGTTTGGCAAAGTGCGAGCTTGGGAACTGCTCAGAAACGGCCATTAACTGAGGTCGCGACATCCCTCAATTTGCCACACCTCCAACCTTGTTTTGACCACTACTCCCCAACTACTCTACCTATGGATATCAGGGTTTCTGCACTCGAGTTGTACATATCAGGGCTTGGTTTGGATCCACAATTGGCAACATAATATACAGTATTCAAAAACCACAAAATCCGCACAAAATAATATACTTTGCCCTATTAAACAGTACTGAATACATATTTCCCAAATTAGAGACAGTGATAAATCTTGTATTTGATGCCCGGCTACGATTCCCGAGTCTGGTAGGCATGGCTACATTCATACTGTAGCTATGCCCTATAGGGCTTTCCTGCACACACTTTGAAAGTTGTTTGCTTGATTCTGAATGAACCACAGGGGGTGTACTCTCAGAACTTGCACCACATCATTATAGTATCTGTCTAATGATGTGGTGACAGTATAGAGGCACCAGACCATCCTGTTAATGGTATGCACACAGTGTGATGTTTCAGTGGGCAGTAACTTGCCCAGCCAGTCCTATACCTTATATGCTATCAGTCAGTATATGAATCAGCTTGTAGACCGTGTTAGACCATACCATTTGTGTTCTGAATAGTAGCAGATGATACATATACCAGGGCAAGGCAAATAACATATGCTGAATTTAGTTTTGGATTTTATTGGGTTTCTTGAACAATGCTAGTTAATTGATATCTTATGTATCGGAGACTGGTTGAGTATATGTGGACATATCATACTGTGAGTCTCAGAGCTAGTGGTAGTGTCTAGAGTACTGTAGACACACATTTCATTGTCCAGTTACTCAGACATAACTTGTGATGTGGACACAGTACCAATAGCTAAATCATCTTGGAGCTGGGCTGACAGAGCACACTCTACCAGCTATAGCTGATGGCCAGCAGATCCATATGTCTGCTAGCAAGATAGACACAGGAGCCATTGCATCAATCTGGAAGACTCGGAATTTGTGATGTCGGGATCCTCGGGAAGTAAGCAAGATGTCGGGAATAGATGTCGATATTGGGACATCTTGGGATCATTAGTATAGCTCTGAGAGTTTCGGGATGGACTTGGTGAGCTTAGAATGGGCCTCAAAATGGGTGATGAATGGCTACACAGATGAGCTACTACTGTCTGAGCATTCAACATAATGTTCCGACATTCAGTCTTTGTGAGATATCTGAGAACTAAGTCATCATTGTGAAGGCTTCCTGTGTGTCGGGAAGTCATGAGAGCCCTCGGGAAGGTGTCGGGAACCTTGCAAAGAGGTAGGGAATACCAGAAGGGGCTATTGAATACTTGATAAGCTGCAAACACAATTGTTTAGTGAGTCGAACATTGGTCTATTGCATACAGCAGTCATCCAATGCCAGTGCCCATACCTGTTTCCAAAGGGACTTGGAGAGTGTCGGATTGGTGTCGGGATGGTTGGGAAGGTATAGTCACTATTGGAAAGGTGTACTACATGCTTGAGAAGGACCGGAATGAATATCTGGGTGACGTGACTTTGGCCCAGATGATATAGCATGTATGGATTGTCTGGCTTCACTGCTGGCGATCTGAAGGCTTAGATAGTGTCGGGAAGGTGTCGGGATGCTCGGGAAGGTATAGAAACTATAAGGAGGGACCCTACAAGGCTCTCAAATGACAGATATGGTCAATTTCATGAGCTCGACATTGCACCGGTTGTCAGTATATATGTGGGATGTCTGAGCCAGATAGTAGGCATAGGAGAACTCAGAGTGTGTCGGGAAGTGCTCGGGATGCTCGGGAAGGTACAGAAACCACTGGGAGGGAGTGTCAATTGTTCAAGAGAGGCATGAACGAATATTTGGTCAAATAAAACTTGTGACAGTGCTCCATGTGTATGCAGCATGCATCATGAATTCAATGGCCATGGGAGGTCAAAAGGATTGTTGGGATGTCCTCGGGATGCTCGGGACATAGTGGGGAGTACTAGAAAGCAAAGGGAAGGGCTTGAGAGAGCTGGAAAACATCTCATTAATTGCTGGAAGTTGTGTCAATGTTCTGAGTGAGCACACCTGACCTGAGTCAAGAAATAGTTATTGGAGAGTGTCAGTGGTCCCGAGAGGATGTCGGGAAGGTTGGGAAGTGGTGGGGACCACTTGAGCGACTTGTTGAGATTTCAGAAATGTGTTCACTTCAGCCACTTTCAAAGGTCAGTAAATTGAGAGAACTGTCCAATAGATTTGATGTAGCTCTTGAACCAGTAGCATCCATAGTGGTCATGCTACATGTGTACTGGTAGGTCACGCTATGTCACATCAAAGTAGCCTTCCCGACCTTCCCGAACTTCCCAACATTTGTTTAGAATCTTTTAAATTCGACAAAGTCAAGCAGGATGCAGGTTCGGATTTGAGGTTTCATGCAATGCTAGTCATCTTGGTACATGTAGGACATGGTTTCACCTTACTTCAACAAGTATCCGGATGATTGTATACAAAATTGCTACAGTGCTCGGGATGCGGCCAGGAAGCTCGGGAAGCTATATATTGTCAGGATGATGATCCTGGGTCCCATATTCCCTCTGGTACCAATTAGAATGTTCCTATTACCTGTCACACAGTGTGCCATAAGTATGAGGTCTACTGCTATCATACATTTGGTAGACCCGACCCATATCAGATGATGCTCGGGAAGGTCGGGATGCAATATGTAGTCCGGGTACCTATTTACGTAGCTAGCTTTCTCTGGTCATCAGCAAGATAGCCCCTATCACCATTTCAATCAGGTAGTATGGTTGTGGTATATGCTGTGTACTATTTATCCAGTATCCCGAGCTGCATCCCGAGCTTTCATCAGGAATGCTCGGGTCAATTCATGATCTCGGGACAACTGCGAATACTGATGTAAGCCTATATACTGCTACTCATACCACTGGTACAGTGCCTATGATCATACTCTGCACAGTATCCTGCTTTACGAGCCCCTGTATGCTACTTTTGGTAGGTCATTAGGTAGGTCGGAACTGTCGGGAGCCCACTTTCGGGAAGGTTTTTTGAGGTCGGGACTGCTCGGGATAGTCGGGATGCTAGTATTTGTACTGTTTTGGGCACCCACAGGCTATTATTACCCTACAGTATTACCCAATTAGGCAAGCAACAGTACTTTAATTTTGCTTCCCGACCATCCCGACCACATCACCCACCCTGCCACAGCCATTATATCTGAGTATAACACCTCATCCAGCTGGATCCCGGTCCACAATCACATCGGGGCAATGCACCATCCCGGTCCACGATGCTATTGTGAACATGTAGCAACTATATATGGGAATGGGGTGTTGAACAACAGCTCGCATTCGAGGAACTCAAGCTGCGTGTTACATCCGAGCCCGTGCTTGTCATCCCAGTCAACGACTCCCCGTTTAGAGTCGAGGCCGATGCCTCTGACTTTGCAACGGGTGCAGTACTCTCGCAGAAGGCTGCTGATGGCAAATGGCACCCGGTCGCGATTTCTCAAAGTCGCTTAGCGAAGCCAAACGCAACTACGAGATTTACAACAAGGAGCTCCTTGCCATCATGCTCGCGCTGGAGGAATGGTGCCAGTACCTCTTGGGCACCCATCACACGTTCGAAATCTGGTCAGATCACCAGAATCTCACGTACTTCCGTGAAGCTCGCCGCCTCAATCGCCACCAAGCTCACTGGTTCACCGAGATGCAGGAGTACAACTTTACGCTCCACCACAAGCCCGGCGGCCTCATGGGTCGTCCTGACGCGCTTTCACGCGAAGCAGGACATGAAAGGGGGGAGAACGACAATCAGGACGTTGTCCTGCTCAAACCCGAGTTTTTCCGCATCCTGCTTTGCGCTACAGCACTCGACTTTGCCGGCAAAGACGAGCCCACGATCCGTCATATCAAAGACTGCACCGCCAAATGCGAGGAATCCGTCGAACTTGCCCTGCTCATTAAGAATCCGCACTGGAAGGAGCACGCAGACGGACTACTCACGCATGACGATCGCATCTATGTGCCGCCTGACAAAACCTTACGCGCGAATATCATCAAGGCGCACCATGACTCGCTCGCTGCAGGACATCCAGGACGCTACAAGACGGAGGAGCTTATCACACGGACGTATTGGTGGCCAAGCATTAGAAAGGACGTAGGACGCTATGTGGCAGGGTGCCAGCTCTGCCAGCGCATCAAGTACCGACGAGAAAGCCCCAACGCACCGCTCCAGCCCAACGAGATGCCCACTCGCCCATTCAAAGTCATCTCTATGGACTTTGTGGGCCCGTTACCCGAATGCGAAGGTTTCAACATGGTACTCAATGTCAATAACCACTTCAGTCGTTGCGTCATCTGCATTCCCTGCAGGGATACTACGGACTCAGGCCAACTTGCCCAACTTTTCCACGACCACGTCTACAGCGAGCACAGCCTACCACGCAAGATCATCACGGATCGCGGCTCTACCTTTGTCTCCTCGTTCATGCGCACTCTCATGGATCAGCTTGGCATAGTTGGGAATCCCTCCACGGCGCACCACCCGCAGACCGACGGACTCGCCGAGCGCTATAACCAGGAACTCAAAACCTTCCTCCGCCTCTACGTGGACTACCACCAGAGCAACTGGGTGAAATACCTCAAGTCGGCGCAGTTCTCGTACAACAACACGGTTCACTCCTCCATCGCGGAAACCGTGAAGCATGGGACAGGCGCCTATGCGGCCGCTTCGCCGCATTCCCGCTGATCGCGGCATGTCTCGCTAGCCAGGCGCGGAATTCTGAACTCGAGTGGACCGCGTACAGGGAATGCGCCGTGGCCAGCGAATACGTCGACGGCCAGCTTGTGCCGACACGACCAGCGAGAGAGGGCCTGTTCGCCCAGTGGCCTCGTGCCCAGTCTTGTTGTTCTCGCCGGCACTCCAAATATCATTAATATAATTCAATTGAATATGCTACACATGCTACAAGATCGCGTAGAAAATACATTAGAGTCCACCGAAATCCACACAGCAAAGTCTAAGCACGAGGACACGACGATGAAAGCAGGTGCGAGAGCGAGAGCAAGTACAACAAGATGGGAGCAAAGGTGACCCTATACTGGTATCAGCAAAGATCGTTAGGTCATGAGGAGAAAACTCACGAGGCCGGAGTTGTCCGAACGAGATAGACTCTTGAAACGAATGTCAGATCACAGAGTGCCAAAAACGAGTGTAGATACGTACAAGAGACTTTTGAGGCGCGGGGTGGGGCGATTCTACGAGGCGCGGCTGTGAGAGCCGTCAGCGAGGATAACGACTCGAACAACATGCGAAGACTCACCGGGGCCATCTTGCTTCTTTGCCTTCCGCTTCCGCTTCCTTGTGGGAGGTGAGACGTCCTGTTCGAGACCTGAGGGAACGATCAATGACGATGCGTGCGAGAAGGGGTACATTCATACCTTCTCCCACACTCGTCAAACCACCGATGCCGCCAGTACCAGCACCATTCGACGGTGCCGCAGAAGCCGGAGGGAGGGGCTGTTGCGTTGATGTGCGCGAGACCGAGGGTTGTGGCGGCGGCAACGGAGGAAGTGGGGTCGCCCGTTGCGGCGGTGTGGTGACGTGCGTGGGTGGCACAGGCATGGGCGCGTTCGAAAGGCCAGGATCGATATCCATATTGCGGGCGGGTGATGGTGAACGAGGTGGCGGTGGCGGTGGAGCTGGGCCGGCAGCGGCGGCAGCGGCAGCAGCTGCTTGTCGAAGCGCGAGATCAAGACCGGCGGTTTCGCGCGGGTCGTTCGGTTTGCGGGCGGCCGCACCATCACGTTTGCGCTTCTTGAGCTGCTTCGATTTCTTCGCCTTTGGCTTGATCTGGCTGTACATGATGCTTGAGTAAAGATGATAAAGAGGGTAAATGACCAGACAGACCTGTTCCAGCAAGCGAGGGTTTCGATGACCCATGGGTTGGCGCGATCGGCGAACAGCGCAACGATATTGCAATGGAAGATCGCGAGGTTGAACCCTGCGATTTCCGGGCGCCATTTGGTAGCCGACGAGTAGAAGTACCAAACCTAATGACTAGATTAGTTACATGGCGAGCGAGACCAAGCAGAACTCGTACTTGAACAGCGACGTAGGCAATGATTTCCGGCTCGATACCGACGTAGCCATTGGTCGTACCACGCGATACACCACCACCGTGTTTGGCGCCATTTGTCAGGGCGTACATCGGCCCGCAGATGATATGCATGGCGAACTATGCAAGAGTCAGTCGCATAGAAGGTAAGAAAAATGATCGAGTTCACCAAATACATAATGGCCGCATCGAAGAGGCCATCACGAATGTTGTCGGGGTTGTGAGGCGTCGTGCGAGCGTATGCAAAGGTTGGCCACTGGCCGGCGCACACATCGCGCCGATAGTTGGCGAAATCTTCGATGAGCCTAGGTGGCAAATCAGATTAGCCGAGACGAAAGAAGGGAACACACGTACGTATCATTAGTGTCGAATTCTTCTAGTAGCTCGTGTGGGCAGAGTTCACGACCACACGTTCTGTCGTTGAACCCGCGACTCGCCGGGTCGGTGGGGATAACTTGAGGAGCGGGATCAGTGACCATGGCGGCGTATTTGAGCCCGATGCCTTTGGACTGCGCGCCGAACGTGCTTGTGTCCGTCTCGCGCGCTGAGTCCGCGGCACGGTCAAGCTAGAGGAGTCATAAGTGGTAAGTACTGGAGTACAGGTGCATATAGAGGGTCCGACACACCGCTTTTATGAAATTAGCGAGTGCTGTAAGACAGCGATCTGGGTCATCGTCTGTATCGTCGCCAGGCCCAATCGCAAGTTTGGTGAAAACGTTGCCAAGGTGAAGTTTGGGGCGAAGGTCGCGGAACTTGATGTACAATTGAACATTGTCGCGATCAATCTTGTCTAGCCTATATGTGTGTCAAAATCGTTTGAGAAGAGAATATGAAGCTCTACGTACGAAGAAATGGCATCGGTGCCGAGTATATGCTCGTTGGCGATGCCAGCAAACAATACCGCCTCGAGCATGGCGAACGGGCTCAACCTGACGGGAAACCATCGTGCCAAGTCAAAATACGCGTGTACGCGTTGGTCCGAGCAGCCGTGCATCACGATTGAGTTTGTATGCATTGAAAAAATGAGGGGGAAAGAACGTACGGTAAGTACGCCTTGCCTTTCGGTGTGGGCTGATGGTAGTGTGCGATGATGGAAGCCGCAATCCCACGGGCGTAAGCCTCCACGGCAGCGGGAGAGCGCTCTAAGAGATTATCAGCACCTGGTTGATTCAAAGGGGGGGGGG